CCTATTTATAAATTGCGATACGACATTACGATCTAAATAAACTATGTTTACAAAGAAAATCTGCGCCATTCAAAGTGTAGATGCGTACTTTATTGTTCTGATAATATTTTTTATCATATTTATATAGAATACATTCCGACATTTCTGACACAATGAAGTATATAAATAGCCGTACCGTATTGAGTATGTAACGGTCAAGGGCAAAGATTACCGTTTGCGATTCTATTACCAATTAAATTTCACGTTTCGAGATCACGTTGTTTATATAACGGTCTGTAGAGAGGATCAGACGTGCAATGGCGGCGTATTGCGCAACTGTCAACGTGAGGTTCAAGAACGGACACGTGCTTTGGGCCGCGTGACCACACAGACTCGGGCACGTGGGGGTAAGGTCAGCGCTACAAGAGATGCACCCTAGTAGTACCTACACGTGGAGCGAATAAACACTACGTTTTAAATAGTTGGCACGTCTCTTATTAGAACGTAGCCTAAATTGAATCTATGTAAGAACGGGTCCAAATATTGTGACTTGCGTGAGCCCAGCCCTAGTTTTACGTCACAATCAAAAAGTCTCGTTCAATGTTGCCATAAATAACATTGTATATCAGTATTGGTATCAGTACATATGAAATATTTTATACTTTAACTAATGAGTCAGTGTCGAGATAGTTCACTGGCTTATCATGTAAACAATATCATAGGACTTTACAAATTAGTACCATCGTGTCAAATGTCACGTAGATAAATGGGTTGTGCACTGTGATAGCTATTTACAGAATTATTAGGTACAAATCAATCTAAAATTAGATCCGATGTAAGGCTTCTTCCACGGTTAAGCTACCCTGACCTATGATCACGTGTGGTGTAATATTTCCATATTATTATTTTATATGTATACATGTTACATTTTCAATGAAGTTTGTTTTTTTTTTTAAATAAAGTTTTTTTTTAAACTTTTCTTTTTTAAACACCTTTCTCTGTATCAAATGAGAATTAACTAAGGATGTTGTTTGTTCGACTCTGCCACATTTTTTAAACGTTTAACAATATGTATTTTGATGAGTTAAAAATTCAAATGTTTGTATGTTTAAGAAATTAAACATTGCGTTTATTTAGATAGTAACTATCTCAAACACTCATTATAGGGTTTAAGATTCTGTACAATAAAAAAATAATCTAAACTTTGAAGTTGATGTCAATAAAAAATGCTAAATATTATATGTATATATTGTAATCATTAATTATATTTATTTGACATGTATAACGATGATAATCATCTATATTTATACATATGTATATATCTTACTAAGGCAACCCATTGGTTTACCAAAAAAATATAAATTAACCGAGAGGTAAAATAACTGAACAGTTAATCCATTAACCAGATTACACACATTACGCCCGCCTTGCCCAACCTAGCCTTGAATTGAAACCGAATAAAACGGGCTTCTTAACCGCTAAACCGATGACGAAACACTAATAGTGGTTTCATAACAGTATTACAAGTTTTAGAGACGCGATGAGCAAAACCGTTTTCGTGGTACCGTACGCGGTGCCAGTTTTTGGATAACGGGTCCCGTGAAAGTACCTCAATGATTAGTTAGTAACTGTCGATTGTCAAAAGTGCCGGTTGATTCCTGTCCGTTATAAATTTGAAGATTTATATTAAACACGTAATTAATTCCTCCAATTCCATAATGAAATATCTGTTTTTCTTTTCTTTTCTAATCATCTCCTTTTCCCTTTTTTCTTTTCTCGTACACGTATGTATGACTATTTTAGTGACCACATTATCCTATAACATTTTCTAAGTTTGCTGGAAGAAATCTCTTTTTAGAGATAACCTCGCCCTTGTACATTACATTTAACTTATTACAGTTATTTTTTTCCCTATGTGTGTGTACAATAAAGAAATATTTGTACATATGTATGTCTTTTAAATTTTATTTACGATCATTAATATAGGCCCCACTGAAAATCAGGGCTATGGAATAACTTAGTTATACTACGGTATAAATGCTGAGTGGGAGTGACATTTAGTGTTACCAGTATGTTTTAGTTTCTAAGTTACATAGTAAACATTATTGTAAATACGAATACTGATGTAATGCTGAATAAATGTCTTTATTATCGTTATTAACGTAGTTTATGCATATTTCTTGCAATATAACTTTTATAAAAGTCATAAAGCATTAATTAATTAATTATCATAAATCCTAGTGCAGTTTTATTGACTAATAAATTTCATTATAAGTGGAACATAACGAGAGTCTGCGATTAGATGCAAAAAAAATTATAACTGATAAAAGTAACCGCGCTATTTGAACCGCTGACTAACTGTGTGCTCCGCGGAGCGTCAACAGTATAACGGACAGGTGCATTTTTTTCACTAATCATCACGCAAGTCCACCGCTGTATAATATCGTAATACCAAATGGGTCATTGCCAAATGTGACTCCAGATATACAGCTCACGCTGACATTTCGAAGTCAGGATTGCATCAAACTGTATACTAATGAAGGTCTAAATAAATCAATTGCTTTTTGATCATCCAAACTTTGCTCATTTGATATTCAGTCACACAAAGTCCGCTGTAAGTGGAGAAAAATTGTTTTTAAAAACATACTTAATGTTTAGATTTTAAGTGCAATTTTCTCAAACTATATTTCACAACTTACGACGGTTATAAACATTGGACCAGAAATGTATAGATATCTTTTAGCATCCTAATTTCCTAACCCTATTCTAACTACTATAAATACGACAATAATCTTACTTATTAAATAATTTTACAATACTAATATTATAAATGCGAAACTGTTTGTTACAATTTGACGACAAAAAGAATTTTAATTATATTTATATAAGGATTTTTTATCTTAATAAAATCAGACGATGTCGCGAGTAACAGCTCTAGCACTAACAGAAACGCAGACAAAGTCCCATGCAGAAACTAGTAACAATGTCAAACCACCCAATTTCATCGTATTATATATCCCTTTCAATGCGCTTGTAAAATCCGCAGTTTATACATAATTACATTGAGTCAGACCGGTTTACATGTACAGGTTATTAATTCGTATCATTAGGCGTTACCAAGTCTGACGAACACTTACGTCATGATACGAAACAGTTATTACGCATTACCATATTCATTTGTCCTAAATAGTTGTCGGAGTGGGCGTACACAGTACCAATAAAAAGTTCTCCAAAATTCTATTTGTATACAAATCTAACTGTATAACAAGTGCTTAATGACGGCGTAACGGAACGTTCTTGGTACATTTGAATATAGCTTGTATCGTAATTATTTAATTAACTACCTCAATTTTTTTACCTTATTTATTAACAACATTTTAGAATACACTTAAGCTGTATAAATTATTACCTCAGCCTCATTAGTACTATTATTTAAAAAAAAAACTGAAATTGCTAGCCGAACTGGACGTTTGGAATATTAAAAAAAATACCTATAAATTATTTCAATATCGAACGATTTTCAAACTACATAGAACCGTTGACATCTACGTCAACAATGGCGGTCAATTAAAGCCGCGATTATTTAAACAGTTAGTCTGCGTAACGGGTGCGCTCGCGCATCTGGGGCGACCTACTGACACTGATGTCGTGGAATATCCGTTCCAGGTATACAGATTATATCTGAATCATGTAAACTCTCTTACAAAAATAGCTGATAACGACAAAAAAGTAGAATGATTAAAATATCAAAGTACATTTTACAATCTATAATTTCATTACAGTAAATTATAATAAAAGTATTGTAATATATATTTTTTACGCTTTGTTACTCTTATCGATCTGAGGATAAAAAAAATATATAATGTATTCTTACTCTCGTACGGCTCGGTCAATAATTTAAATAACTAATTCAAAGTAATTTAAAAATCTTTATATTTTCCTTAATGATCGATATAGAATTTAAATTAAGCATAAATCTGTATAATACCAACAATAACGTGGCTTCTAATGCGGCACACTGAAAAATGGATTCAAATGCTTTTAGTGGAGCATAATTTAAAATTTAGAAAGAACTCTCACGTTGCTTGCATATCCACCGCGTGTAAAGCAACGTGATCGGCAATTCATTTTTCTATTCAGTTGGTACCACTGGTATTGTTTTAAAATTAAAAAAAAAAGAATCGTTTATGACTTGTTACAATAGCCGTTTTATTAATGATTCTACCATTGTTTTTCTTGGATAATAAAACGTTGATAACACTGCGTTTTTCGTGCATTTTTTTACACTTCCTGTCGTTGTTTAACATGCTCGTAATTGTAAACAATCGGATGGTTTACATAAATCAATATCTACATAAGCGCACCAAAACTAAGGGTGCGGTTAGCAAGCGAGGTTAATGACACTTAATCAATAAAGGTGAATCGATATGCTGATTCAAAAAATGCAGGTGTATTTAGTAGTCAATAAGACATCGCACCACGTTAGTTTCAACGTGACTCACTTGCGCAATACTAACAATTAGCGTAACAAAAGACTTGTAAGCCACAAACCATGTCATGCTCTAATCTATTTTCTAAAATTGTAGACATTGGACATGCCTGACGAATAGTACAACGATGACTAATACTTTTAAAATATATCAATATATTTTTTAAACTTCCTTCAGCATAAAGCAATGTCTTGATAATTAATGAACCGAAAACTTAGCTAACACCCAGGAAGTTAGTTTTGTAACGGAAGAAATCCGGTGCAGACTTAAAATTGATTTTGTGTAATGAACTCGAAAGGTTAAGAAATACGATTTATTAATGAGTTTGGCTAACATGAAGGGAGTAAAAAGCGTTAAATGAGGCAATATGGTTTCACAAAGGTGATCCACGTGCAAAGTTGCAGCGCGGGATCTTGCGACAGCATTTTTGCAACCATCTATTTTGTAATCGCGACATTATTTAGACAACTGCAACGGTTAGCGCGTTTTTCTGTAACATGCAAAACTAACGTAACGTTTCATTTGTTGCAGAACTACAGTGAAGATTCGTGCGGACCCAGTGTCGTCCGCCGAAACATGGTTGCCGAATTCATCCTAAGCCAGCAACAGTTGCTGGGCGGCGCTGGAGGCGCTGCCCTGGGCCCGGCGCCCGCACCGCCCCGAGGCCCGCCACCACCCCGCGCGCGCCTCTCCGTGTCTCCGCATTTTCCCCTCGAACCTCCTTCACCTAACAATGGCCCTCCTGGGGACCACCCGGACTACCCTGGAAACTATGATTTCAACAAGCGCAAAGAATTCTTCGGACAACGCAAACAGAGGGAGTTCATTCCTGATAACAAAAAAGACGATGGTTATTGGGACCGCAGGCGACGAAACAACGAAGCCGCCAAACGGTCCCGTGAAAAGCGCCGCTTCAACGACATGGTGTTGGAACAGCGTGTTGTTGAACTCTCGAAGGAAAATCATGTCCTTAAAGCTCAACTGGATGCCATCAAGGAAAAATACGGAATCTGCGGAGAAACACTTATCAGTATCGACCAAGTACTAGCCACTTTGCCAACCTGTGATCAAGTACTCTGTGTCACAAAGAGGAGTAAACTAACAAGTAATACTCTATTCCCTGCACCTCCACCGCCACCACCGCCACCGGCGTCTCCTCCGTCACCGGCGCCACAACGTGCACCTGAACCATACCCAGAAAGGCTGCCAGCACCTGAAGCGTACTACCCACATCCAGCACACTATGAACCACCCGGTTCAGTACTCAACCTCTCTCGATCTCGCCGTGCCCCCTCTCCCTATGAACTGTCATCTCTCTCAGGTTCCGGGGATGAAACGACTGAACAATACGCACCAGAGAATAACTGCTTGCCGCTGAAACTGCGCCACAAGTCTCACTTAGGTGACAAGGATGTCGCCAGCGCTCTATTGTCACTCCAACACATCAAACAGGAGCCGGGTCCTCGGTCGTCCCCGTCTTGGGACGGCGAGGGTTCAAGTGACGAGAGAGACTCTGGGATATCGCTCGGTGCTGAGTACAGGCCGCAGCGACCTGAGGATAGGCTTGTGGAGGAAGACGACGCACATTTAAAGGCTGAGCTCGCGCGGCTCGCGACCGAAGTGGCGACGTTAAAGAACATGATGCATCAGAACAAAGCTCGCGGGCACGAGCACTGAGCGCGGTCGCGGGCACCTGGAGACCAGCCCCACTGCGCCTGGACCGCGCAGCCGCTCTGCCCGCGCCGTAGCCTCGTCGCAGCCTCGCCGCAGTCTCGCCGCACTCTCGTCGCAGCACGGCTGCAGCGTCCCCGCCCGTTTCGATGACGTGTCGATCTTGTTCGTACAAACTGTCTCCTACCCCCTTCCCCAAGTAGAAGTTACCACGTTGTAAAGAAATGAGAATATATTTGTATCATATTGTGCAGCTGTAAGCGGCTAAGCCGTATCGCCTAATTGTAATCCTTCCTAGTAGCTTTATGTCGTGGTCGATGTGTCGTGTAGGGAAAGAGATCAGTCGTCGTAGGCGACGCGAAGTTTTAAATGAATTGAGACTCATATCGTTCGGATTTAAGACTTTTCGAGCAGATAAAACTTGTCTACTCAGTGATAGATATAAAAAATGCATTTTTAGTGGTGAACTATGTATGTACCTATATGTATAATAATTATATAAGTGTAGTAGATCTGTTTCATCTATTCGAAGACTCGTTAGTGAACTCGATGGCTAAAGACCTATATCGTTTAAGTAGATGTAAGATTGATCTAAGTAAATTTAAGTCCAACATAGATTATTTATAAACGTTTATGTATAGTATTTCTCAATCAGATTGCCCTGTAAGTTCCAAACCAAAAAAAATACGGATAGGTCCTCATGGAATCGCTATTAATTTTAGATAGATTATGTAACCTAACAAGATCTTTCCTAATGTTAAACCAGATTGTATTGAATAATCCGATAGGAATACCAGTGCCTTTGACAATACATACCTATCTATAAATAGTTGCCCAAAGGCATATTTTTGTACATTTATTAAATAAAACGGCGATTTCAATTCTATATTAAAAACATTTTATAAAGTTGGCCTCTACTATGTGTTTGCGGAGAATTATGTGAACGAGTTTGAAAAGGCTTCTAGTAGAAGAGATATATGCAAAGCGTTGCTCTTTTAAGAAGTTTATCATTAACTGTATACTAGTCTAGTTCTCGTCTTTTCCAAAACACTTAGTTGTGGTCTTGAATGTAAACAAATTATAATCAATCCTAAAGTTTAATGGAAGTATTCAATGTGTAAGTTATACTCCTAGTATTGCCCAAAGGGCATGTGATAGGACTGATGGAGTTAAAACTATAAGTATTTATTTATTGTTCGGACCGTGAATGAGGATTTTACAATTTATTATCTTTGTATAAGAAACACTATACGATATAAATAAATTGTGTACATTACAATTATTTTATGAATTTTATTTTCCCTATAGAAATAATTAACCTACATACTTAGAATTTTTTAGAGAAAAATAAATTCCTTGTGGCCAGCAATGTACCACGAAATCAACAATATTCAGGCTATTTTTAATTCAGATTTTGGCAATTGGAATTATTTATTTACAACTAACCCTGGTAGTAATTATTTGTGGGTTGTAATTTAGAAATTATCTCGAAATAAAATGAGAAACAAACAGAAAAAAATGGTTTATTGCAATTGAACATTATTATTCATAGCCTATATAATATTATGTACCTACATTGAAACATGACGGTAGATTTAAAAAAGTGGTAAAGAATCAGAGTTATTATTTACTTTAATGACTCGAGTTTACCTTAGCCATTTATATACTAAACTCTCAGGTATATAAATAAAATATAATTATACGACTTGTAGCCCAGATAGCCAGGCGTTGGATAGGTAATTATCGACGGCATGCTGAACACAACACATCCAGGATACGAGACTATCGCCATCACTCGGATTAACTAATTTTTGGTTTGTTGTTGTTTCCTTTACCGGAAAGTCAGTCAGAAATATAAATTGACACAAAGGTTTGAACCAGATTTGTGTTTAAATTGGGATAGTGCAACACTAGACCAATATATAATATCTCTCCAACAAGAGCAAATATATGGTGTGATAATTTTTTTAGGATAAACAACATAAATTTAGTTATACATACAATTCAGATATTCTAGTAATACATAATGTCTATATATAACTTTGTGGTTAGAATCGACCGCAAACAGAATACACTTACAAGTACAATTTCGATTCGATTTAGTAAAATTACATTACTCTAACTAACACGATTTGTTTCCGAATTAAAAAATAACATATTCTTAATATGGCAGGAAAATTACAGATTATATCTAAGTCATTTCCCAAACAATCACAAATACATGATCACCTGTACATCAATGTGGCTTATTAAATTGATTATTAAAAATATAGATATATAGAAAAAAGTATAGGACTTTAATTGTCAAGAATGGCAACACAAGGCAATTAATTCAATGTTTTAATTTTTATGTTATATATTCAATTCATTATAAAAATGTATTCGACTGAAGGACTTGTAACCATGGTCATGCAAAAGCATTATTAAAAAAAAACAAGTATTACAATGTATTTTGTAATGTACCATATACAATGACGGTTACCATTTCCCATCACGCAGACCGTTAGCAAATAAGCCATTTAAGTCACCTATTGGTCGAAATTCAACCATAATCAATTTAATTTATAAGTTTGTACATTATTAAGTTTCTATTGTCAATGACTATAGACAAACAATATTAATCTATTCTCTGTTTGATATAACCACAGACTTAACTATAAACAACAGAGTAAAAATGCGCGTGTTTTGTGTTCAATACATCGTAGTGTCTGTAATGTTTATTTTTATAGATTTAATGTATTTTTTACGCATTTTTAAAAAAAATATAAGTATTCTGCACATAAACTATGTATATCTAAGTGTGAAATTTTATACTCCTGCACAGTATTTTCGTAAAAAGGGGTACAAGTTTTTGGTTCACCTATTAATTTATACATACAACAGTACTTTGCTACAAAAAACATTCTACTGCAATAAAATGGTATCACATACTATATAAAGAGGTGAGGATAACACCTAAGTAAATATACACAGTCTTTCTCATTTTAACAACTGGATAAGACTGGATTACTTACGTATTTACAAACAAAGAATTCATATCACCGGGTAGTTGTTAATAATAATATACAAGATGGCGGTTGTTTTGGCGCGAACATGACATTTCACAGCAGGAAGCTATTTAACAATTTTAGGGTACTCCATGTTCGTTCTGTGTTAACTCATATTAACATATATTATATGTTATTTAATTCAACCTCTGAGATCATTAAAAATGAAAAAGAGATCAGTAAAAAAACAATATAACAAGCCATATCTTCCAAACAAAGAAGGTGTAGTTCAAGAAAAACTTTATTATTAAAGATGACAACTTTTTTTCATAAGTACTTGTTTTAAATAATCCTTTAATTAAAGAGGCAACCAAATCTATATATATATAACTCAAATGTGACTGACATAGTGATCTATCAACGCACAGGACAAACCACTGGACGGATCGGGCTGAAATTTGGTATGCAGGTAGATATAGATATAGTTATGACATAGGAGCTAAGAAAGGATTTTGATTAATTCTACCAAAGGGGATAAAAGTTTGTATGAAACTTTGTCAATTTTAAACCGATCGGGCTGAGACTTTGCATGCATAAAGCTACTATGACGTACGCATTCCCTAAGAAAAAATTTGATAAATTCCACCCCTAAGGGGATAAATTAACGAGAGCGAAGCCGCGGGCAAAATCTAGTTTATGCAATAGAGTTAGTTTTCGCGACAATTGTGTCGACTTTATCAAAAAGTTCTTCAGGATGTTAAAGCGCCTCTTATAATAAACCTTAACTATTAAAAATAATGACAAACAAGCTGAGGAGCCATCTGAAGATATATTATAACAATTGCCTATATATGGAGGTACATGAACAGAACTAAGAACATCATGTTATTACGTGACGCCCATGATACGTTACTATTCCAGAGCACAACTGACGAGTCTGAATTGAATGTTAACACATATATAACATGAAAAAGTATTATCGCCATTGTAACAATTATGAAATGTAAACTGTTAGACAATGCTCATCATGTCCTGGTGGAATGCGTCAGGAACGAGAATACAAGGAAAAAGGTAATTAATAAAATACAACTTTGCAATGATGTAGGTATGTTGCACAATATTAGAAATAGAAATAATCTTTATTAAAATAAACTAAAATTGTCATATTGTCATATTTTTTATTCTACCACTATTCTATCGGAACCCTCGTCTAAGAGCGCGATGTTGGTGAATTATTAGTTTTAATGTAAATTTTTGCAAAATAACAAACTAGACAATAATTTGTTTTTTTTTTAATAATTAAAAAAAGAAAAGCTGTCAATTTTGTCCTTTTGCGGTACGGCATGACGTATGGAAAATGGAAAAAGTCCTACAATTAATAAAGAAAAATATATCATTTTTCTATCAGCAAAATAATCTCGTGACGCATGAATGTATTCATTTTAGGCAGGCGCCAGTAGTTATCGTACAGTAAGACGAAATGGTCCATACGTGAGTCAGTACTGTGCCTAGTAACATAATAATTTTACTTGCATTTTTTTATTTAGAAATGTTTATATTATTTTGTGTGTCATACCACACATACAATATCTAATATTTGATGTACACATGTTATTTAATTTTATTACTCTCTTCGTTTTTGTTCTACATTTGTGTTTTGTTTTATTTAGTATTATCTTATTATCTAAGTAATGGAGATGCATATAAAGAATTTATCTGTCACAAGTTTGGCATTTCCTCCGCCTCAGCCATCAGGATTACATACAAATTAAATAGAAATTAACTGAAGGGTTTTGTTATTCCTCTAATTGATTGTAATTGCAAACAGGTGTCCATCTGACGGTAAGTGGCGACCATAAACTATAATATATACAAGAATAGAACAAAAACATAACGTTTTCATGAGGCGCCTGTAGTCTTGTCATTCCAAATGATATATGACCCGAAATTTGAATATCTGTTTTGAAATATCGATAACTTAACATTTATGATTATGTATAAGCTACATTAATATAAAATATCGTCAAAATCCGTACTTTTTGGGTGAAATAGTAACAAACATTCATCCATGATCCAGGAATTCAATCTTAGTAATATTATAAACTTTCGCGTTTATAATATTACTAAGATTGAATTCCTTTGTGCGAGGCAAAAAATATGCTATATTTAATGTACACTAATATAATAAATACTAAAGTCTCCTTATTTGTCACCACTTCACGATGCAACACCTTAGCGAAGATTCGAATATACGCTCTTATCTCAGAAAAAAACAGAACTCTCAAGTGACGGTTAGTAATCATACAAAAAGGTATTCATCATCACCAGCCCACTGCAGTCCACTGCTCGAAATAGACATCTCCCAAGGCACGCCACTGGGTACGAAGGTTATGTTATTAGTAAGTGAAGCATCGTCATCGGTGAGTCCCCGTTCACGAATCTATAATCACATTTTGTAGTACCATCAATGACGTCACAGCGAGACAACTATATACGAAGAATTTAATTAATTCATTATAATTATGATATACGTAATGTTATGTAAACAAACATTGAGAATGTGAACTTTGATCTTTATATTCTTTGAACAAATAAAAGGATAATGCAAGTTCAGTATGCGTTTGATTGGTTTTACCCACCGGAAGAATACAAATCATTTCAACCACAATTTAAATGGGTTTTCCCTTAACTGTAGGTACATAGTGTGAGGTTCCAGAGAGGGCTGACTGTACTTCGCGTCAATGTGGTTGTGCCCATGATGACCTCAGTACAAGTATTATATAAAATTAAAATATTAAAGTAAAAGCTTACTTTACATTCTCTAAAATAATACGACTTCCAAGCATTATTATTATTTTCGTTAATATTTATTTAATTACCTGCAATTTGGGGATATCGCGTACCTATCATAAATACGTACTATAACTTTAAAAAATGACAATTTCTTTATGAAATTATATCGGTGGAAAAACTAAAATTTCACTAGCAAAATGTTGAAAAGAATAAAAAGACGTTTAAAATTCTATAATAAAATTATAGTTTGCGCAAGTCTCGAATAGTGCTTGTTTGTATTAGCACAGATAATATAATACTTTTTATATATAAAAAGTATTCTATAGAATACTATTTATATATAAAAAGTACCTACCATATATAAGTACCAATAATATTAATGCACAACAAAATAAAAAAGGGATATTATTAATGTTGCCATGATAGAGAAATAAAATTACACTCTTTTTTAATATATATATTTCAATAATTAATCAATTTTACATTTTGTTATAAAATTGCA